ATGTTTTTTTCTTGTATCTTCCCATGTCATAAAAATGCTCGGAAAAAACTGCAGCTTTACCAATCCGATTACCGGCTCCCGTTACTGCAATTTACCGCGGTTCACCGCTAAAAACTGTCCGGTATTTACGATATGGGTTGCTAACTATATGACAAATAAAATCATAAAACTATTTCAGATAAATGTTGAGACTATCGAGTAGGGAGCTGCGGATCCTTCTAGGTCCGGTCTGAGTTCGGAGTCAGGTCTAACGTTTTATTTTTTCTCTGAGAGTAGCGAATAAGTAGCTAAAACCTTGATCCATTACTTGTTTATGTAGACAAATGGTGTCAGATATTGATAAAAAACCTCTGGTGTGGATCCGCAGTTCCTTACTATCAAGACTTGATGTTATCGATATATTTCCATTTTTCATAGACTTTTTGTGATGTTTTTTTTTTAAACTTAATTTTTGCTTTTAACAACTCAATTAAACAACTATATTGTTTTTCTTTTAGTGGTCCAACAAATGATTGGACTGAATCGATATCTCATTGTTTACGACTCTCACGTAAAGCTCGATATTATTTAGCAGATGAACTTTTAGTTAAACATCCAAATCGTTTTCAAGAATATTTAATTGATTGTACATCACCTGAAGTAAGAAAAACAAAAAAAAAACATAATCTTTTTTTAATAAAAAACAAAAAAACATCAAATAGGTTCGTGGTGGATTTAGTCGAATACTTGTAGCTCTTGCTCGAAGTTCTCGACAAGATGATGAAGATTCGAATCGATCAACAGGTATTTATTTTTATTAAAAAACCAAAAACAAAATTTTATTTCAATTCTTTGTTTCTATAGATCAAATACTGATTGAAGACACTATTATTATAAATGTTGTACGTTTACTTAAAAAAGAAATGCTAGATAGTGTTAAACCATTAGTACAATATTTTCAATTTTTTATTCTTTATTTACAACATGGTCGTTATGAAGTAAGTTTTCGAAAGAAGCAAAAAAAAAAAACAAATATCAAAAAATTTCTTTTTTTCTAAATTTCAAGTGTGAAAAATTAATTCAGTTAAATATTCCAACAATTTTTGCTACTATGGCATATGATGATACAACATTATCATCAATACCACGTTGTATTGAACCATCAAAACTTTCAATAATACTTGCAACATTAATTCGATGTTTTGATGTTTCAATGTTATGTAAAACAAAACAAGTAAGACAAACACATTCAAACAAAAAACAAGAAAAAAAATTTTATCTTAATTTAGTCTAATAATGAACTTTTGTCTAATCCATATTATGCATATGATAATAGTTCAATATGTTCAATACCTGAAGATATGATTAATATTATTTATAAACAAGAGAATTTTTTAAAAAAAATTATCGAAGATGCTAGTTCATCGGATGATTTATGTAATCTTCTTCGATTTCTTATTTGGGAAAATCCTGATGTTACATGGATTGTACTTCATGAAATTATTGGATCAGTAAGTTTACAATAGAATAAATAAAGAAAAACAATATAATTAAACTAGAATTTAATGAAGAAAATTTTTAGTATCACTATTAGAGAGAGAGATGTGAATCCTTCCAGAGGGGTGTGACTATTGGTATTAACCTTCTTTTCACTCACGTTCCAATCCGATAGTTTGATTAAATATAATGTCTATTAATTTTAGCTTTCAAAAGTTTATGCAAATGATTTACGTCCTTATCTTGATATATTATATTTGGTGCTTACAATTGAAGATTCTTGGCAAGAAGTTCGAATATTATATACATTAAAAGGCATTCCAATATTCGATGAAAATAAAATAATAATTAATGAAAATTCATCATCATCATCACCACCACCATCGACAACATTAAATAATAATAATAATAATAACATTTGTCTAAATATATTTGATATATTTTTAAAAATGAAATCATCTAATGAAAAACGAGCTTATCAATTTATTAAAATACTTTGTCAATTATTTACAAAGTATAAATAAAATTAATTTTTTTCTAATTCTATATACACATATGAATAATTTTAGTTGTATAAAAGCATATAATCTATTACAAACTGATCAAGATATAAAACAACGTTGGATACATGCTGTTCGTTGGTTACGTGATCAACTTGAAGTAAAATAAAATTTTTAAAAATTAGATGTTTATTATTATTTTTTTTTTAACATAGCGACAAAATCACATTCCATCAAATTATTCTTATTATCAATCTCAAGGACAAACTGCAAGTAATGATATATCCCAAGGATATTTTCTTGAACGAACACCAAGTGCTAAATCTGTATTAGAAAAAGCTTACGAATTATGTTCGGATAAAGTAATAGAAACAAACAAAAAAAAACAAATTGTTTTATTTTAAAATGATTAATTTTAGGAAAATGATGATATTGGTTCAAATAGTGATGAAGGTGATGAAAATTAATGTATAGATTATTGAATATACACGCAACTCTATCAACAATCACATAAAAACTCTTTGTCATCAAAATTGGACTTCAAGAAAGAAAAAAATAATAAAACATAATTCATTTCCGATTTGTTTTTATCTAATCCTATTAACATACATAGACAAAGTCTGTATATGTCGAAAATCTTCTTATTCCTTGTAAAAAGAAAAATAATAATAACAAAATATTTTCTACATTTTATTTTATTTTTTTTTTGTTCTGTTCTTAAACTACATCAAAACTAATTTTATGTGTATATTTGTGTTTTGTCCTTATAGAAAAGAAAAAAGAAACAGGTTATTTTTTTAATTGAAAAGTATTTTGACGATGATGATGATGTTTGACCTGTGCAACTCAGCTGTAGTTATTTTTTTCTCTTCTGTGCGTGTGTGTGTGTGTTTATTCTATATCATTATCACAGTTGTGTTTTCAATTTTTTTTCTTTTTTTTAATTCAGAAATTGAAAGCGCATGAGCGCAAGAAAATTTAAATAAAGTGAATCTATTTTCAAGAAATTAA